GCCGTCAGGGCGCTCGCGCCAGGCCACCGCGACCACGAGCCTTTGGGAACGCTGATCCTACATCTGGCGCCAGCAGTTACGATATACTGCGAGACGCGCCCGAGCGTGGAAACAAGCCTTCCGCGTCTTCTGGCGAGCCGCCGCAGGTAGCGGCCCGCCGCGGCCGCCTACAAGGCGCACCACCACCACCAGATGCAGTTGACGAAGGAGACCGACTGCGGAGAGCTACAAGGAACCCTCTTGCCTCAACCGGCTCGGGGGCTCCGCGACTGCCCGACTGGGCGAGATTTGGCATCCAACGCAGTCTGCAAAATCTCCGTAGTCACGAACCTCATGTAGTCAAAAAGGAACTCCGTAAACTGCACTTACGGTGGTATCATGCGAAGGAACCCAAGATGAGGCTAATCCTAGACAAAGTGGGACTCGACAACGTTCGACTAAATATGATCAAAGAAATTGGTGACGCATGTCGGGAATGTAGAGCATGGGAACATCCAGGAAATTCGGCGCTACCTTCTGTAAGCCTTCCTGGAAATTGGCTCGATGAAGGCGAAGTAGATCTCATGTTTTACAAGAAACGAACCATATTTCATATTATGGACCGATGTATTCGCCTGGCAGCAGGCCAAGAGATTTCCGATAGAGAACGTGACGCTATATTCAACGCCTACCACTACTGCTGGATTGCCTATCATGGACCCTTCAAAGTCTTGTATTCAGATGGAGAAGGCGCCCTAAACAATGACACTGCCAAGGCCATGTTGGCGAACAAGGGTACGGCACTTCGTATCCGAGCGCCTGGCCAACACGCGACCTCGATCGACTCACGCAACGGTATTCTTAGGGGTACTCTCCATATGTTTGAGGAAGAGCTGAACAGACACAACATCCCTGTTGTATTTACTAGAGTATTGTCTGAAGGCATCTTCGTCACCAACGCCTTCACGCTCTACAACGGAGTATCGCCATACCAAGCACACACACACACACACACACTGGGCGACAGCCCTCCTTTCTTCCTGACCTCGACACCCTGGAATTCCCTAAGGGACCCGAGACGTCAGGTCACGAACGAGAACGCCGCATGAGGGAAGTTAGCCTTGATGCAATAACTCAAGCCACGGCGGTAGCTAAGACAAATCGTGCTCTCAGGGCCAAAACGGCCCCAGATGGTGCTCGCCTTTACTCAGCAGGGGACTTGGTCGACTATCACCGACCTGCTGCCACTAAGGACGATCATGGAGGCTGGAATGGCCCGTTTCCTGTGATCCGTAACGTGCCTGAACGAGGACACGTCGTTGTCAAGGCAGGATCACGTGAGGTAATTGTAATGTATCCTGATGCTCGTCACGCGCTATACATTGAATGCCTCCTTGCCAGGGAACGCGGCGTGGACAACATGGCCATGCAAACCGTCCTTACATATGTGGCACACCTTGGTGCAGGGAAACCTGCCAAAGTCTTTGGCTATATTCCAGGCTACAATGGAAACCTCAATCTTTCGGACGACAGCAAGTTCCACCCGCGTGTACATCTTGCACTACAGTATCTCGTGCGAAATTATTTCCGAGTTGAACGTGTAGTAGCAGTTACATTGGCCAAGAGTGTGTCTAATCTACTTGCAGTAAAGTACGCCACCGGGTCTACACTGATCCACTACGACAACGATGTCAACCCAGCCTTCCACTATTATGAGTGTGTGGGCACTGGCCTGAACATGTCTCAAATCACTGGTAGCACTCACTCCAGACTCATCCAGTGCTTGACGTCACATGTTCCTTCCCTAGGATTTCATGACGACCTTGCCAAGTATCAGCACTTGGGCACAACGTCTGGAGAACACGACCAGCCTGGAGACAGGCCTCCACCAGACACCCCAGGTGCTTCATCACCAAGTGAAGGTCGCCTGTCTACCATCTACGAAGAAAACGAGGAACATGACATCGAAGCTATGATGATGGAGGAGTGGTACGATGAGTTACGTATGGACCTTCATCCCACAACGGTTACCGACGATCATCTCTACCGCGCCCCAACAACTATGCTGCCCGACCAATGTGTTCTGGTCTCAGCATCCGTGGACGAAGATATCGTAGTGTCGGAAATGCTCGGAGACGAGCCTGAACCACGAGAGCTCTGTCTTATCTCTCTATGCTCAACTACACCTGACGAGGGCTATTCTCTTGACAGTGATGAACATGGTCCTCATGTTGAGTTATGTTTTACACCAGAAATGTCAAAGGTAGTGTTGGATCAGACCCAACTGGCACAGCTCGAAACTGACATGGTCGCAACGATGAGAGTATACGTATCATCGGCTGCTAAACGTGCTGTGGTAGTCAAGGAAGACGACCTACTCACCAAAGCCGACATAGCAGCACACCCGAAAGAAGTTAGTGAAGCCTTCTGCACCGAACTCAAGATCTGGCTTGATAACCGGTGCTTTGAGATGTATGACCTATCTAAAGCTTCCAACATCACGACATCCAGATATGTATACAAGTGGAAGTTTGTGAAGGTAGGCACCGAGAACGTGAAAACCATTCGTCTCAGACTTGTCCTTCGTGGATTTATGGACACGGAGGCGTTCGATGTAGAAACCTTATCAGGAATTGCTCGAAGGCGGCCCCAGAGGCCCCTGGCAAGCGAGGCGGCATGCCATCCAGAATGGATCTTAGCATCCATGGATATCGATAAAGCGTTCCTCAAAGGTTTGACCTATGAGGAACTTGCTCATGCCACTGGCGAGGAAACTCGCATGGTCTGCTTCACTCTTCCACCAGGAAGCGCCCAGGTGCTCCGTACACTGCCATGCTTCTCCTCTCACGATGAAAGCCGACACTGCCTCGGGTGCCTCAAGCCAGGGACGGGTGCAAAGGGCGCCCCAAGAGCGTTTTCCCTCAAGCTTCGTACGACCACACGAGCTATAGGCCTCACACCGACAAGTTATGATCCTGAGTTTGAATTCAGTCAAGATCTGTTAACAGCAAAACATGTCGACGACATCAACATGACAGGCCTAGAGAAAAATGTAAGTGACTATGTACAACGTGTCGAAAAAGGTGTTTGGTAAATGCAAGCTCAACAAACATTATTATACGAACTGCGCCGTTCGCTACACCAAGAATGACCAAGGGGGTGCGATCATGGATCAGGACGAGTACATTAAACAACTACGTCCTATCACACACCCCGAACTTACGGGAGCGGCGGCTGACGCCAAAGCTACCAAACTCATCACCGACATGTTCGTTAGCCTGCGAGGAGCTCTCGCCAATGCCCTTCTTACTCAAGTCTGGCTTATGGTGTATGTGGTCTCTCTCCAGAAGATTCAAGAGCCCACCAACTTACAAGTCAGGCGACTGAATGTTGTGACGCGAAAGCTGATCAGCAGCCCGAAACGCATCACCTTCCCTCGGATGAAACCGACGAGCGAAGTAGATATACACAGTGATTCGGGGTATCGGAAGCTCACCGGGGAGGAAGACGATGAGACTAAGGGCTACGGCAAAGGGGGCCGAACGTATTGCGGCGAGGAAACTCGCCTCAAGGCAAATCCTTCATCCACTTTTGCGACGGACTATGTAAATCACACCGATTGCAAGTGAGGTCCAGCTATGCCGCTGAGGCACGCAGCTGCACACAACCTTGATGAGTGTTACCCTACGCTCATCAGTCTCCACGAGCTCAAGGCAGGGGCCCTGACTCCACGACAACTACGAGATATGCGTGAAGTTGGAGGCCTAGCTATTAAAGTATCCCTTACCATAGACGCTGAGTCTGTATACACATCGCTATCCAGTAAAGATCTTAAGATACCGACGGAACGGACGTTGCTGGGACATATCAGCTGGATACGTGAGCTCATGGATATAGGTATAGTGCATCACGTGTAGTGGTGTGATACTAGAGACATGACCGCAGATGGGCATACAAAGGGGAGTATCGATCGGGAACTGCTTTTGGAGGTGATGTCAGGCACTCAGTCATTTAAGTATGATTTGAAGCAGTTTGTTCCCTTTCGGGGTCCTGAGGACAGAAACAAGCCTAAGTCATCAGTTTTTGTCTGTCCTTGTTGCCCCCGCGGTCCAGTTTGCCAGCATGGGCGCCTAATACAGAGGCGCCCTCCTAGTTGCTCGGGAACGAGCCTTACTTTTCACGCTTGGTAGCGAGCCTGTTCAGATTGATTCAGGCTCTGTGCTTTAATACCCTCTTGCTCGGAGAGGTATAGCCTGTTTGGCTTACCTCTAGCCGGGCCGATAGCCCTTTGATGTCCAAGGCGCTATCTCGCGTATGCGTGAAATGCTTTGCGAGGAAACTCGCCTTACAGTCTGGTGTTAGGCCAGACTGTACGCACTGTTTTTCTTGCAAACAGTCGTGCGCGCGGCCTCTGTAGAGCCTAACGGCTGCGCGGCTATACTCACCGTCTCCTCCCCTCCCGACTTTAAAGGGTAGCTCTTTGGGAGATGTTATATAGGATCGGGAGTATAGCTCGCGCGCCGTTGCTTTTGGCTCAAGGCACGCGCGCCCTATTTGCCCGGACACTGCTTGTGTTCGCTATGTGCTGGAAAAATCATTACATCGATTTTATCTTATCTTATCCGCCCATTCCCCTTACTGAACCACCACAGTACGGCACCGGACGCAATTTGCCATCCGTTTTCATGGAATCGGATGCTATTTGACTTACCATAGTCACTTCAGACTCAGCAAGCCTCCTCTTTCCTGAGATGCCAGCAGATGCACGGGTGACTACTTTCGAAGAGAACTGGCCATTCCCGGACAGAGAGTGCAACTCGACAGGATGGAATTCTCTCCATCATGGAGCTTTGGCCCATCAGTACTCGGAAATGCTTGTGCGGGTGCAGGGCAAACGCGTCTTGTTTGGCGGCGATTCGCTCATGGACATGGTGTACCATCCCTTCATATGCAGCGCCGTTGCATTTGGTTGAAGCATATCCGATGTGCCTGTTGGCCTATGGGGAAGCCGGGCGGACGAGTCTGCTGGTACCCAGGCAAAGATGTTCACGAAGGAGAACCATAAGCCCATTGTAGTTGCTTATATGCGATGTTATAACTACCGTGCCGGTATGGACAACATTAAGCCTGTTGACGTGTTCCGCTTTCCGCTGAAGCCCCCGAACTTCGACGTCGTCTTCCTCAACATGGCTCACAACGCTATGTTCACGCGTAATCCCAAAGAGGTCCAGGACCTGACGAACAAGTTAATCCGTCATGCGAACGAGGCCCCACACATCGGCCGGCCGCATGGTGTTCTTGGGCCACCCCCCGCAGCACTTCAAGACCGAGACCGGGGAGTACAACGGCCCAGAGACTGGGGACTGCGCGTGCCACGACAGGGCCGCGCTGGAGCGGCAGCCCATTTTCCAGCACAACTCTCTTGTGGAGGCTGAGGTTGCCAAGGACAACGAGCGCTCTGACGGGAAGTGTGCTTTTGCTAACCCGTGGAACTATTACGCAGATTTGTGCGAACTTCACGGTCACTTGCAAAGAAAAGGATGGGAATCGGGAGATAGATTGCACACATGTTTCCGAAGATGCTGTCGCAAAGCACGCCCCATTCTTGGAAGACCTTCTTGCCAAGGCGTTCGATGGTCGCCGAACGTAGATGGACGTAGGCCCGTCGGAGGCAGAGTGTCCTGCTTAGCACGAGTATTCAGAGCGAAGCTCTCCTGCCCTGTCTTTACAGCCTACGCTGCACAATATTCGCCCGAAATGGTCTACAGAATCTGTAACATTCCCAGCTTCCCAGTTCTGGGTTCCCGGGTGCGCGCTTGCTGGTTCCCGATCGAGCTCACCGTCGATCGCCTGATTGATATCACAATCCATCTCACTCCATCGATCCAACCATCCACTGCTTGAGTTGTTCTCTAGTGTAATCATCGTTTTCGATGCTGAATTCTTCATCGCCCTCCTGCGCGACTGGCCGACGATGTCGCGACCTCTCGAGGCAAAAGATAAAAGAGCAGCAAGGAGCCGCAACAGACAGCAAAGCCAGGAACAAGGAAAAGCACTTGAGCTACCCGTCGTGCCCGAAATAGAACCCCAAACAGCGGTTCTGCCTGAGACATCCACCCCAACATAAACACTCATGAGATTTGGAATTGAGCTGTTTCCGAACCCCTATCTCATCAAGTCAAGAGGCTGCTGCAGTCATCCTCCTCCCACCGAGAAGTCTATGCAGTTGCTTGTGGTCAGACGCATTCTTATTTGAATTCAGGATTATGAGGCAGAGGACTTCCAAACATGGATGCGTCAAAACAAACTTATACCCGATGTATTCCCTCGGCTTCTCTCGAATGTTGCCTTGGCGGCTCAGGATTTCTCCAGGACTAGCCAAGAGATTTGAGGAGGCGCGCAATTGGAGCTCGTTGCGGAACACGATCTGCGTGAGGAGTCTGCGTCAGTGTCACTGCAGATGGAGCCACGGAGCACGATCCGCAGAGATGTGCCGAATCCGGGCGGGGATTCTAATTGGAATCCAAGAGTGGCCAACAGGATGCGAAGGATTGCTGAATGAATTTCAGGAGGCTCCGACACAGCTCCCTACGGATCTCAGGACGCCCGAAGTCGGTTCAGAACAATCCCAAAGCCTCCAAGAGACGTTCGAAAGGCCCCCAAGATGGTTTCTGGAATCGGCCTCTTGGGCCTCATGAGCATGCAAGATGGCCCAACTGCCAAGAGTTCCAAAAGAGGGCTAAGACCTCCACTAAAGTCCACGAGCCTCAACGATATTCCAGGAAGCACGGGCACGCCCTGGCAGGAACCGTCGCGGGCCCCATCTGGAGCATTAAAGCGAGTACGAAAAGGGCAGTGACGAAGGCCTACAGCAGTGCCTGCTCATTCTGAACTGGACTCGCTGTCGGTGTCGTGGTGGACGTGGTCGTTTTTGGCACAAGGTAGACTGCCCAACAGCGGCCGCCGTCGGGTTTGGAGAGCATGCGCAGGTGATACAAGTTCCGGGCCTCCAAGACCGACTCCTGAAAGCAAGCCAGGGAAGTGTTGCCATGCTCCTCCTCCTCCTCTTCCTCCTCCTCCTCCTCAATCCCTCCACTGCCAGGGCTAAACAGTCACACTGACTCGCGGCATTGAGGTCCAAGGAAGGGTGTGTGGACCAGTTGAGGATTCTCAAACGGTTGTCTTCTAATGGGACTTTTCCCGCAATGAGCCGAAATATTTGTAGAGACTTACGAAGAGGGAATTTGGATGGAGGGTGTTTTGCAACATCGTTGATGCATCTTCGGTTTGCACTGGTCCTCCTCCTTCTCCTCCTTTTCCCTCCCTCTCCTTCTCCGGCGCCTACGGCGGCGGTGCCACCCCCCCCGCAGCAGCAGCGTTCCTCCTCCTCCTCCTCCTCCTCCTCCTCCTCCTCGTTCTCTTCCTCCTCCTCCTTCTCCTCCCCATCCCCCTCCCCCCCTGATCCTCGTCTCTCTTCTCCTCCTCCTCCTCCTCCTCCTCCTCCTCCTCCTCCTCCTCACCTTCTTCCCTCCGCCTCCCTTCTTTCCCCCTCCCTCGTCCTCCCCGGCGCCGACGGCGGTGGCGGCCCCCCCCCCCCCGAGCGAGCGCGCCGTCCTGCGGAGGTCGCACTCGCCCTCGCCGCCCCGCCGGGGCGCCGCCGCGCGGGAGGAGGCCGCGGCGGCGGCCGCGGAGGAGCAGCGCGCCCGCGAGCTGAAGGAAGAGGAGCGGCCGCCTCCCTCCCAGAAGGGGAGGATGGGACAGGACGACGACGACGTCGTCGACAACGACGACGACGACGAGCCCAAGACTAGAGCAGCTCGCCCACGAGCTGAATCGAGGAGCGGGAGGAGAAGGCAGGGAGCCAGCAGCCAGGGAGGCTCACGAGGATGACGGCGGCGAGCGGCCGCCGCCACCCTGGGAGGGGAGGACAGTGCAGGACCTCCTCGCGCTGCCCCTTCCTGGTGTCGACTGGGGGCCCGAGGTGGCCCGGCACTGGTTCCTGCGGGGAGGGGGAAGGTTCGAGGTGCTGGGTTCGAGCATGGAAGGACTGGCTCCGGTTGCCTGTCTCTGCCTCTAGGGGCCGTTTTCGAGCCCCAGGACCGTCAAAGACGGATCCAGCGTGAACTTGCACCAGATGGTTTTGAGCCGATTTGGCCTCCCCCCCCCATCGATCGAGTTTCTGGGGCCCCATCCAGTTCATACCCCTCCGCCGCCTGTCTTCCTCTACCATTCTATCCTCATCCGACCTCGCTCTACCCTCCTGCTCTCTCCCCGTCCCCCTGTGGTTTCGCTTCTCCACGGTGAGAAAGGAATTGCGACGTCGAATTGTGTTTCTTGAGCAGGGACGAGCCGCAGTCAAGGTTGTGGAATTCACCAGTATCCTGGCGAGGAGCCTGTGTCGTGACGAGCAGATCCGCCTGCTGCTGCTTCTCGCAGACACCCCCTGGGCGAGGAGGAAGAGGAGGAGGAGGAGGAGAAGATCCAGGAGCCATGGAGGCCCACGAGGACGACAGTGGCGACGGCGGCGGCGGCGACAATGAGGACGGACGGATGGACGGCGACGACGGCCACGGACGACGGACGACGGACCGCCAACGCATCGTGCAGGATACGAAGAGAACCATGCAGAACCGTTGAGTATTCCGGAGCTCCGCGCGGAGTTCTTGGATCGGCGCTGGACCCCCCTCCCTGGCGCGCGGCGTCGCCGTCCGAACGTTGATGTGTATGCCGCCCCCTTGCTCCTCTGAGGGTCTCCTGGACACCACTTTTACCAACGCAGCGGAGTCCAGCGGCAAGACGGGGGAACGACAGACGACTTGGCATCGCTCGGACATGTGGGTTTGTTCTCGGCGAGGACCATGGCAGATAATCTTTGGTCATCTTACGGAGACATACACGTGCGGGACCTCAACACGCACGGGGAATGGACGTCCGAACGATGGCGAGACGAAGACGACGACGACGACGACCGCGGCGACGACGAGGGAGAGGAGGGAATGGAAGGGCGATAGGGGGCGAGCGCCCGCGCCCGCGCGACCGATCTCTGGGCCACCACGTTCGGGGACCCGCTGGGTCCCTTTAGCCCTTCGCGTCTCCCTCGCCGTGCGCCGCCCTGAGCCACTACGTTCGGGGCCCCGCCAGGGCCGTCGTCGTCGTCGTCGTCGTCGTCGTCGTCGTCGTCGTCGTCGACGTCAGCGCGCCCGTAGACAACGATAGGGTGATGAAGGGTGGTCGAAGCCTGGACGAAATCCAGCCGACATCACGTTTATGATAGGGCCGCGCGGTCCACGGAGGCCCCCTATGAAGGCCCACCCGGGACTGCATGGTTCGCCCCTCCAGAACTTCGCTTGCGGGGGCAGCGGAGGGGTCTCAGCTGAGGTCCCATCATGCGAGGCTTGACCTCAGAGCCGCCCGCACTGCAAATTGCCACGTGCCACTATCTCGCCACTGCCACTGAGTCGTCCATTTCGGGTCGTGCTGCGTTCCCGTCTCCCTCCGATCAAGCCTGATCAGATTCGGGACGCCTCGGCCCACTTCGAAGAGAACACGGCGGTCTCCGTTGACGGGCTTACATGAAGCATTTCGCCTTGTTGGGGGATGATGCGTTGCAGGCCCTGTGTGACATCCTCATGATCATGGAGCGTTCGGCCCTCGTCCCCATGCAGCTCTGCGTCGTTATCATGCCCCTTTCGGCCAAGCCGACGTGAGGGTTTCGGTCGTTTCGGCCCATCGTGTTTTCTTAGTGCGGAAAAGTTCGTAGACAGCTTGTTGATGCTTGGGAGCGCGAGCACATGCGCCCCTACTTCTGCGCTGGACAGATCGAAGGAGCGCAAGGCGCTGTGTGGCGCCAGGCATTGGCTGCGGAGGGAAGCACCCCTTCTGGGCAGGAGGTGGCCACTCTCCTCACCGACCTTTTATACATATTCTGAGTTTCTCTACTTGGAAACCCTCTTGGTCCGTTGTCATGCTATGCACTTCCCGCTCGGGGTCGGATATCGTTGCGTTCGCACGTACTCTCAGGCCAGGCGTTTGTCACAAAAGGATTTCATTGACGGCCCTTAATGGGCCTTCCGCGGAATCATTGCGGGGTGTTCGATTGCCACCACATTGGTCCGGGCGAGCTCGATTTTAGCCCTCGATGCTTTGCGCCTGCCTCCCCGTATTGAGTTGAAGCTGTACATTGGTGCTTCTGGGCTTTCGGCCACTGGCACGTCCCGATACGTTCTGACCCGCCTCCCCCCCGCGGCCGAGGCCCTCCACGCTGCGTTTGTGGAAGGAGCCGGTGCGAGGAGCAGTCTCGACCAGTTGTCTCTGTTCTGCTCTTGCCGCCGAGTGGGGCGGAGTCTGTTCGAGGGCCCTGGAAGGGCTCACGGGCCCCGTCTTGGACGCCGGCTCGGCTGTCAACCCGGGTGTGGACTTCACCGCTGGGGGAGCTCGGAGATGCTTTGGGAGGTCTGCGAAGCAGAAAGTCAGGGTTCGCAAGGACAGAGATCGTAGGCGCCGATGGTTTCGGATCAGGCCCGCCATTGGTGGGTGGCGGTGTGAGGAGTGGATCTCAACTGGGCCCCTGCGATGTGCTACATATGGATGCGAAGTCTTTGGCCTGTCTGATTATAAGCTCCTGCAGCTAAGGCGAATGGCTGGTAAGGCCCTGCGCCCTAGCGCCCAGAGCAGGAGCCTCACGGGTCTGATGCTCTGCAACGGGAGCCCCACTTGGAGCGCTGCGGTCTCCCCGATCGCCTGGTGGGCTAAAGAACTTCGGACCACTCACCAGCGATTGTACCAGTTGTCCGTCTCGTTCGCCACGCTGAGCGGCTTGGAAGAATGTTTTTTTCCAGGGAGTCTGGTTTCTGGAGGTCGGTGTCGGGTCCGATAAGTACCATGCGTAAGTCGCTCGAGCGCATGTCTTTGACCATGCCCTCCTTCACGATGCTTCGGGATGATATGGGGAAATACATTCACCTGACTGACGTCTCGCCTGCCATGGTTCGTTCCTTGCTTAAGCGTGCGGTTTTGAAGTCTTCAGGGTGTGACCTAGGAGTCTGCTCCAGGTCGGTGGTGCGTGTTGCGATGGTATCTTTTCTTGGCTTCGCAACTCCAAGATGACCCCCTTTGAGAAAGTCCGATCGTTGTTCTGTCACGCGATTCACATTCGGTCCAGGGCCGAGGGGATGGGGTTTCAGATCAGTGATGAGTGCGAGCTATGTGGTGAAGAGGTGGGCACATTTAGGCACCGTATTTGGCGCTGCTCGGCGTGCGAGGACACCCGAGCAGCTTTCATCCCAGCTAAGGTCCGTCAGTGGGCGCAGGACGCCGACGATGTGCTAGCCACCTTCGGAGTTTTCGCGCATCCTGGAGAGCACTACCCTGGACCCTTGAAGAACCAGGGGGTGGTGGCCGAGCTCTGACCTGGTTTCGAGCACCTCGTCTTTGATGAGAGATTTCCGCGGGGAGACGTTCGTGGACGGGTCATGCTTCAAACACTAGGTTCTGGAATTGTCTCGGGCAGGTTGGGCTGTTACGCTCCTGGACAGAAGCACGCTGGAAGAGGTGATTCGGACTCGGGGTCCCATCTGGCCTCCATACCCTCAGACCTCCCAGAGTGCCGAGTACCATGCTTTTGCGGCTGCTGCTAGACGCCTTTTTTGCAGGAGAGCCTATTACGTTTTCGGACAGCTTGGATGTGTGTGATTACGTGAGTCTCTCGTGGATGAGCCAGACCATTCACAGGCGTATTTATGCAGGTCGCGCGCAGTTCATTCGTCAGAATCTGCCTCTCTTTCAAGTTTACAAGGTGAAAGCTCACCTGCAAGTTTCGGAAGCCACCGGCGATGATGATATGCTTCGTTCTTTGGGCAGCAATCTGGTCGATGCCTCGGCCAAGGTCGCGGCCATGTTTCATCCTCAGCCAGATTTCAGTCTGGCGGTGGCCGCTGATATCAAGATTGCTGTCGCTCGAGCTGTGGGTGTGCTGGCGGCTAAGCTGCTGCCCCTCTGGCCGCCGCTCGCGCTGGATGGGGCCAAACATCTCAGGCCGCAGGCGGCCCCTCGGCCCGACCTCGTCGCTCATCCAAGTTTCCGCCCAAACTCCCCCTGTAGGGGCACAGGCCTGACATAATGCAAGGTCTCACGTTCCGTCGGTCGTCCTGTGCCAGGCCACTGTCGGGGACTCCACGAGCTCGATCCCCAGGTCCTGGCCAGGCTCCAGCGCAATGTTGTTGCTCTAGAGTTTTCCGATGGGGCCGCCCTGGTCGTCTGCATGCGTTGTAAAGCTTGCTCGGGTCACGGCAGGGTGCGTAATTTGGCTCGTGAGCGCAAAGGCTCCCCGACCAGTGCGGGAGCCCACTCTCCTTGTAAGCAGACTTCCTCATGAGTGCACCCGAAACTCCGAGTGGTCTGTTCAGGTCGGTCCCTGGGTCCATGAGCCCCGACCGGAGCCAGATGCCTAAGGCATCCGGCGTGGAGCGGTAGCCCTCACTGCCAAACCATAATCTTTTGAGGTGAAGGTTCGTGGAGGGAAACATCCTCCTCCTCTTTGTCCCCCTCCTCCTCCTCCTCCTCCTCCTCCTCCACCTCCCTGTCCTCCGTCTCCTCCCCCTCGTCTTCCTCATGTTTCTAATCTCCCCGTTGTGTGCTACACGATCCTCTCCTTCTGCTCCTTGCGCATTTTGCCTCGTACCATCATGTTCGTAAGTTGCATCATCACTATCACTCCTTCTCGT